ATAAATTCCTTTCATATAAACTCAGTCAAGATCCAAGAAGCTGACACTGTCCTTTTCTTTTTTAAAGTTTTTTCATCTCTAGCACCTAGAATTGTCTCCAATAGTATGTGAACAATGTATATACCTTAACATTCTTCTCTAGTCTCTTGGGCTTTATACTTGCTATGCTCTGGGCTGGTAATTCTTTTCTCTTAAATGTCTGCATAAATTCTCCTTTATAACTTTGTTCCCAAGAGCTTACGAACTGTTTAAAAATCACATCACAAATTCACTCAGCCCCATTTCTACATAGCATTTGCATACCTACTGCCAACTCCCATTAACACGTCTAAAGATCAAGTTACTGGAGCCAGGTAAAGTGCCAAAATACCTTTCACCCAGCATTCAGGAGGCTGAGGCAAAAAAGACTTAAGTTCAAGGCCAGCCCAGACTAACATGAGGCATCTCAATAAGGGTGTGGAGGCATACTGGGAATTCAATTCCCAGTGTGGGAGGGGTAAGGGGCAAGGAACTCACAACTGAAAGGTTTTTCTGTATAACACACACACACACACACACACTTTGAGACAGGGTTTCCTCTGTGTAACAACCATGGCTACCCTGGAACTAACTCTGTAGATCAGGCTGGTGGTCAACTCAGAGATCTACCCGCCTCTGTCCCCACCACCCGGCTGAAATACATTTCTAAAACTTGCAAAATATACTGTTTGAATCCTGTGGAATCTAAACATCACCTCATACATCGCACTGCTAACTCAAGTTTCTTTCCAAGAATGACTTGTCCTGGAGTGTAGGAAAATCCATCCCAAATCACACAGTACCTAAAATCTGACGAACCAGAGTGCTATTCCAGCCAGAGCCAAGGGCTTGCGCTACAGTGAACCCGTGTGACAGGTAAGCAGGAGCTCTGGGTATAGCTCAGGGTAGTAGCAGCCTCAAAAGCACAGGGCTCCAGGCCCCAGCAATGCAAAAAGACAAGTCACGAGACTAGTCAAACAAGTCACCCAATTCATACCTTCCGTCGGCTGCTCTCTAATGCTCCAGACACCTACTTCAACTACAAATGGCTCAGAGGGAAAATTGGAAACTTCAATTTCCTCCATTGTCAACATTTCTCCATTTGGTAATTACACTTGAGTGACAAAAAGATTAACATTGATATTTACTACATTTTTTGAAAGAGCTATCAGGAATTTGGAAAGGAATGAGACCTGAGTCATGAAAGCAGAAGGCAGGGAATGCGGGGAAGGAAGGAACCAGGGAGGGCAAATCGAAGGTATGATGTGACTAATTCTCTGTATATTACTTAACCAAGACAGTGAGAAAGACAGGGTAGGTTCCTGACACCATTCTCTCAGTTCTGATTGCGGCTTTCACGCTGGTCACAGATCAGTTTTCACTCATGAGCAACAGTTTGTGTGGGTGAAGTACAAAAGCCCAGGGAATGCTGGGCCCTGTGCACCTGCAGTCACAGGTGGCGATGAGCAACCGTAACAGGCACTGGGCACTGACCCAGGGCGCCGGCAACAGCACTGAACTCTTCACCGCTGCTCCACCCGCCAGCCATCTTTTTCAATTTCATATATTCTCATGTTTTCAGCATTTCTGACTCATACTTGTCTATCTTTTGACTGCACTGTTCACTTTTTTAAGCTCAGTTCAGAGGCATTTGTTAAGTGTGTGTGCTCCTCCTTAACTGCAATTTCAACCATATCCTTTTGTTCACAAGTCAGGTCACCGAGATGACCTAGGAGCGGGCATGTGCGCCACACAGACAACTGAGACGCGCTAACATCTACAAGCTGGTGCCCACCATGCTTGCACAATTGGCCAATGAGGCTTCCCGTTGTTTGAAGAAAATGCAAGAGGATCAACACTGCACAACATCTAATGATGCTCCCAACCAAATTATCCGCACTGGGCCCAGCAATCAAGAACGGACTCAGGGCTGGAGGTAGCTCCCTGGGAGATAGCTCACCTAGCCCCGTGTAAGACGCTGCTTCCACTCAAGTGTACACCTGCCAAGAGCACAGGCCCTCGTGTTTTCTATTCTATTAGTACTCCCTGGCTCTGTAACTTCCCCAAACGTGATTCTTCAGACCCCCAAATGTAATCATCTTAAGCACACACAAGAACCACAGGCATCCAAATATAAATTTGTGAAATCTTTCTTTACAAGAAACATAGAAATCATTATAAAGTTGTAAATTTTTAAAAACAAATTTTCTTCAGCCAAAGAATGTAAACAATAAAGGAAAGAACATTGCAGCAGAGGACAGCAAGGCTCTGCAGCCATGACAATAGTCAGAGAAGCCACAGGCCAGGCAGGCCCTCAGGACAGGGTCACTGAAGCGCCACTCACAGGATTTTCATCAAGGTCTTACTACTCTTCAAGGGCTCTGCCAAAAACACGCTTTCTTTAATGAGTAAATAAATCAGAATAATTACATTACAACTGAGGTTTTGAAACGTGACATCAATAACCCATCACAGTGAGGATGTTTAAATATCCAAGCACAGGTCCCTCAAGTTTGTATGTAAAAGCAGATGACATCGCCCCTAATCTCAACCCTAGAGCGTCTTCTGCCCCGTGGTTCTTCTCCACAGTACCTTACCATACAAGCATTCCTCTTTACAACTCTAAACACTGCAATTACTGTTCAGCACAGCCCCAGCACAGGCTGTGTGGGACAAACACTGAGGACAACGTCATGGGGATTGTAAACACACACTTATCAACATCTTGCTTACTGTGTAAGAAGCAATTCGCTATAGGGGAAACAACCCTGACCTAGAAAAAAAAAATCCCTGCTCTAAACTGCCTTTTTTTTTTTTTTTTTTTTTTTTTTTTGAGATTAACAAACTCGACTTGGGAAAGAGATCAAGATAGGGATTTTTTTTTTTTTTTTTAATTTTAACAATTAAAAAAACAGAATACAGCATTTCATGCCTGTACTTTAAGGCCACTGAGGATCAAAAGGAAACATTAGAAATTACAAAATGGTCTCACCTTTTTTTTTATTACAAAGAAAAACTCTGCAAATGATATTTATATTAGAGCTGCAATGTTAGAATTGCAAAATGCCTTAAGGAAAAATATTTATGCACAAAATTGTTTCAATTTTATCCTTTTATGAAATAGAATATAAAAATATCTTAAATTAAAACCCCACAACTGCCACTGCTCTCAAAAAAAATCCCTTCCAAATCAATACATGGTTTTAATTATTCTTTATAAATAAATTTTGTCTCTTCTCTATATATATATATATTATGTATATGTACTTCTGTAACCTGAGGCCTCTTTAGACAAATCAATATGTCAGGCTTTGCATTACAAATCTACATAGACTAAAATTTGGCTTACCTTTAGAATTTACACAAGGCTGTTATAAAAATTAAAAAATTAAAGCTGTGACTGACTACATAAACTACCTCAACAGCATATTTACCCATTCTGATTTTCACTCAATATAAAATATTATCTCACATCTCTTGTTAACCGTGCATCAAGAAAACAATTCAAAAGGGATAGAGAACATGTTTTAAACGATGTTGAATTCTACCTTTTTGAGAGATTTGCACATTTAAAATGTTATTAATGTGTCTATTTATTTGGAGGGGGCAGGGCAATTTCAGAATCAGTTCTCCCCTCCCACGTGGATCCCAAGGATGGAACTCAGGCCATTAGGCCAGTCACCAAGCACCTTTACTGTTAAGCCACCTTCAATGTCCCCTACTTTCCTAACATGTGTGACACAGAGGAAAAATTATAGTTATCAACATTTCTTCTGTCCTTTTTGGTTCATTCTGACTCAGGGTCCCACTCTAGCCTTGAACTTGTAATCCTCCTGCTTCGTCCAAACTGCAGGCTTAGCCAGTGCCTTCTATTGTCAACACATTTGAAAATACTTGAGGGTTAATTATGGTCCTCTTTATTTCCTTTCATCAGAATTAATGTGTAACCACATTAGTGTATGGAAAGGTTTAGTAGAAAAATAAAAAATACTTTAAAATTTTGCGATATTTTGTATTTCAAGATTCTTTCAGATAAAACCAGTGTTACTTGTGGTTGAAACGCAGAATATGACTTACAGATTCTCATTTAATCTCTGAAAGACAAAACACACTTGGTGAAATGGTTGGTTCTCCAGACTAAAAAATCCAACATGAAAGCTCCACCCATTTGCCACGTGCCTAGGGCCGGTGGGAGCACTTGCTCTGTGTGTGTGTGTGTGTGTGTGTGTGTGTGTGTGTGTGTGTGTGTGTGTGTGTGTGTGTAAGAGACAGAGAGAGAGAGAAGACCTCAGACACTCAACACTGTGCTCACAACCAACGTCAACACTACCCTACCCTACTAAGTGCAAACCCTGTGGTCTATGCTTACTGCTCCAACATTGTTATCAGCTATACAAGGGAAGAACAAGCATCTTTTTATAAAGCAGACACTAAATACATCGGGCTTACAGGCCCCTAAGGCCTCACTACTCCAATATTCCACTCCAGGGGAATATCAAGGAACAGCCATGAAAATGAATAAATGTGTCTGTGGGCTGCAGACTGTCCGCGATGGACGAGATGTGGATTTGGAAAAAGAAACATAATCCTAGGCCCACCACAAAATATGTCATGTGTGGGCAGAGGAAGAGCAGAGCTCAGTAAGAACATTCATGAACATTACAAACTAAAATGTCCACACTTTCCAATCAGATTTGAGTGTGTGTGTGTGTGAGTGAATGAATGAATATGCATACATACAAGCTATAAAACTAGCTTGGCTTTACTTCATATTCTTTTTGGTATGCTAGTAACAGTGTCAAACCCAAGTCACATCAGAAGAAAAGGGACCATGAATAACTGAGTACAGCCAGAAATATGGTTTCAACTTCTACATTTCTTTATACATTATAGTGATTAATTTCTGTACACCTAAAGAAAATGTTGGATGTGTATTTCCAGATATCATCTTAAAATTAAATTGAATTGTTACAATTTGAAGCTAAATGTGATTTGCTTTGTTTTATTAGAAAAAATACTCAAGCAAAGTCTACAATCATCGGTCAATTGAGAATGACTTACAAGAACATGAGACAGTAAAATAAAAATACAGGTACAAACTCTATGTCTGAAACACCTCTATTTGGCAATGTTATAACAAACCAAAAGTTAAAAGGAACAAAGGAGATTGCAGAGTACTTCGCAGATGGAGAATAAAACTAATGATGAAGTGCTTAAGCAAAAGAAAAAATAACAGTTAAGAACACACTGCTTCTCTTCTTCTGAAAATAGACTCCCGTTTGCTACAGAGCATGTTAGACGAGTTCCAGAGTGTCCTCCCCAGCAGGGCTCCTCAGTCCCGTCTACCACTTTACCCCTGCCCTGTTCAAGCCTAAAATACTTTCACTAACTTTTGTGTGTGTGGTTTTTCTTTTTTAAGCAAATGAGAAATGATCTATGCATCATGGAACCTTTCCCATTTTAAAACCAAAATTGGTTTAAAACCAAACCAATTTTATATTTTTGTCTACCTTTCTTTTAAAAAAAAAAAAAAAAATGAGTATAAAAACTGCTGGTTTTCCTGTCCTTGTAGGAAGCAAGAACTGGTGGGTGAGGAGTGCTTTCTTCCTGCAGTCTGACTGCACAGTACAGTGTTACCATGTGCTCCCCACGCACAGTGAGGGGCGATCACCTCAGTCACTGTCAGAGGTGAGTGCCCGAACTTCCATCTCGGTTTCTGGAAGGACGTCCCATGCTTTGTTCTTAGACATTAACAGTAGTACACAGTCCCTTCAGTCTGCAAAGACATCTCTTGTTAAAGGTGCTTTGTTAGCAATCCCTCTGGCAGCACTAGTGAGTTACAATTCCCGTCAATATTATTTCTACCATAATATATACATTGACTTTCATGCCTCTAGAAAACATCTACAGTACATTTCATAATAGAAAAATATATTACAAATCTGCTGAATTATTTACAAGCAACGCTCTATTATCTCTATTCGACATTTGTTTGATACAGTACTGACAAGTTACACATATTTCCATTTCTGTAAAGTTAAAAAAATTCCATATGGCTTCTTGCGTGCCAAGCAAGAAAGTGATTTTATTTTCCTTTTCAAAACCAACTTTGGTGCATAAAAGATTCGGTTTGAAGATACTTTAAAAAAAATACATTTTTTTTTTTTTTTTTACATTAAGAAAAAAATTCAAAAACCAACACTTTCCTCAGGAAAAAAATTAATTAAGTCACAGGTTAAATGAACATATGAAGATTATTCAAATATTTTGAAGTTGAGGTTTTTTTCAAAAACCATTGACAAGAGTAGTTATGTAGGTAAATATAACACACTGTACCCCATGAAAGACCCTAGTCCTGAAAAGGGAGCCAACAGACATACGGCAACACTCTTTAACAGTAATTCTCAGACCTAATTCGATAGACGAATTTTAGTTGATTGCAAATGTCGTTCACTGTTTGCTTAAATACAAATTGAACATTTTTCTTATCAGAGTTCTGCAAAAGAACACAAATGGCAACCAATCACATCTATTTATCATAACTGGAAGGTTAATTATCTCTTGATAATAATTTCCACTGTCTAAATATTTTCTATTAGGACTTCAAATCAATGCACACTGTCAAGAAGAGTATCTCACAGTGCTTTTGGTATTTTTAAGGGCAATTGTTCGTCTTTCCAATAAAACTACTGTAATCACTAAGGGGAGGAAAAAAGCAGCTTAAGCAGCGAGCATGCAAAGCCTTTGAGAAGCTGTTCAACTGAGTTGCCAGAGAGTGTCTGCGCAGTCTCCCACAGCGCCATTCCATGTCATGTGGACCACAGTAATATATTAATATATTCCACAGAAGACCTACTTCATTCACAGAGTGTCCACACTCAGCATAAATATTACTCTAAATACTGGACTTAAAAATAAAAGAGGAAGGGGTTGACTCTACTGTGCAACTTTCCTAAGCCCATTGTCAGTGACTAGGACTGCAGGAGGCCCCGCTTGCTTGCTTTATGTATTTATCTATGTTTTACCTCTTCAACCTCTTCTGCGGCATTGTTCTAGAAAAAGAAAAAGAAAAATTCTTTATTCAGTTGAATCACAAACACTGAGTACCTCAAAAGAGATATTACAAACACTTGTCGACTTGAGCACAGTGGTAGTGACAGGCCGTAATAAACAGGGATTTCCAATTGCCGCTGCATGCCTTCAGCCCCAACTACTCGAGACTGAGGCGGGAGTTTAAGGGTATCGGGGGCAACACAGAAAGACCCTGTCTCAGGAAGCAAATATGTATACTGGAAGCAAAAGTAATTATTCCTAAAATATAAAGATAGAATGAACACAAGTTTATTTACATGGCTTTTAATGAAAGTCTCTGTAATCTGATACTCTTGATAATATTTATCAAGAGTTCCACATCTAATGTATATTTAAATTTCAATGAAATGTTCTTTATAGTCTCATTTGGAAGTGAAGTGTGTATTTTGTATTGTAACAGTACTACTTTTCATTATGAAATGTATATATTAGCAAGGACTTGGTCCTCAAAAAGACAAGTGGAAACAATAGTTTTCCCAGTCAAAATCCAGACACATCTCACACCAAGAAACAATTGACCTTTCTGCCTGCACCACATTAAAGTTCCTCAGCTCCAACTTCAGAGGGAAGGCAGCAACAAAGACAAAATCCAATGGTGAGGCGTTTTTTGTTTGGGGGGGGGGGGGGGGGCGTGTTTCATTCTGGCTGGTTGTTTTTAACAGTTAACACACAAGCCAAATGTGATGAGGCCTATAAATCAAGCACTTAGGAGACTGATGTGGGAGAATGTGGAATTCCAGGATAATGTGGGCTACACAAAGGCACGTCTTAAGGACATCCTCATTTCCCAAGAAACTTCTAGTAAAAAAACAAAAGAATCGCTTATCTTGAACCAGCCAACCTCGTTTCTATCAGTACTTCTGAACATGAATTCTAAGTATGAAGAATATTTTAAATCATTTTCACTAAGCTATCTAAACTGCTTCCCACAAAGCACAAGAGCACAAAAACAAGCTGATGTGTGAGAAAGGCAGAGGGAGGGAGGGAGAAGAGCAGGGATAAGCAAGGAGACTCATCTGGCTGTCAACTGTGAAAGCGTTCATAACCAGCACTAAAGCAGCCCAGCTCCCCCCAAACACTGCTCTCCTAGGACACCAGGTTCACAAGTTAGCACCTTCCTTCCACAAAGGATAGTTTATCTAAAAAGGGGGGAAGGGCGGGAGAGAAACCCAAGAGTCCTGACATTCCTTCATGGTAAGGCCAGTGAATGTTAACATTTTGCTCTCAAAAGAATGCCTCATATAAGAACCCTGACACAATATCACCAGATGCATCACAGACAGCAGTGTAGTTGGAGGAGCAGAGCCCCTGGGGTGTTTGTGACTGCTACAATGAACCCCTGTAAACCAGCAGGGAGGATGCGGTGCTCCTCAGTTTGATCCCCACCACTCTAACCTGCACCACCCCAAATTAGCTAATTTTATGACAGTTAAAAAAATATGCTGGGTGGTGTGGTGGCAGCAGTGGTTGAACACACCTTTAGTCCCAGCACTCAGGAGGCGGAGGCAAGTGGGTCTCTGAGCAAAGGCCAGCATGGTCTACAGAGCGAGTTCCAGGGTTCCAGGACAAACAGGCCTACACAGAGAAACTTTGTCTCCCCCCCCAAAAAAAAAAAAAAAACTGGGATTATCAGTATCATCTTACCTCTGGCCAATCCATTCTCATAAGAAATTGGAGATTGATATGTAAAATAAGATTGTTTCTAATTTAAATAAAAATTCATATTAAAAAAAAATACATTAAATGTATCCTCATTCTAAAAGAATAAAGTCAAGTGCCTTTTTAATCCCTGGTTTCATCACCCAAGTAGTCTATGTTATTTGGATAGAGCAACATGTGTAACCTTGGGCAGATGAAATGGGACTTCCTACTGCAGTTTCCAATCTATGCACGGAGACCCTGGCCCCAGAGAGGGTGCTGTGCTGTGTACCAAGCAATTACAAAAGTGACTAGGAAAGCTCCTGGCCACTTCTCTTCCTAGCACCGCCATCTAGAACAGTCAGCCAAGCTTAGAAACAGGAGCCTCTGAAGAACTCAGTAGGCACACTGCTACTTAAACTGCTCCTTTCAAAGTTTTGGGAGAAAGTAGACGAAGTACATAAAATTTAAGACATATTCAAGTTATTTTTAGACCTACAAGAGTCTGATTTAAATACAGATACTCGTGTCTTTTTTAAATTAAGGTTTTCGATAACATGTATGTGCGGGATCTGAGTATCACATGTGTACTGGTGCCCACACAAAGCCAGGAGGTATCAGGTCCCCTAAAGCTGGAGTTACAAGTGGATGAGGGCATGTGCTTAGAACACTCAGGTCCTCTGCAAAAACAGCAAGTACTCTTAACTCCTCCTGAGCCAGTCTCAGAATCACATTTTAAAATTAATTCCAAAATATTTGTGTAACATAATTTAAGCCAAATAAACTTTATCATTCTAAAACCCTTAGCTCTTGTGATATCACAGCCACGCTTTTAAAAAGCAAAGAACAACAATGTGATATAATGCTCAAAACTTGGGTGGTGAGGCAGCATTGGCTACATAGCAAGTTTGAGCAGCTTGAACCACATAAGACCCTGATGCCTTACAAACCCTGCACTCCTCAAAGGAAAAAAAAAAAAAAGCTGAGTGTTGGTGGCGCACGCCTTTAATCCCAGCAATGGAGAAGCAGAGGCAGGCGGATCTCTGTGAGTTCAAGGCCAGCCTGGTGTACAGATCAAGTTCCAGGATAGGCTCCAAAGTAATGCAGAGAAACCCTGTCTTGAAAAACCAAAACAAAAAACTAACAAACTAGAATGCCTATTGGACAGAGAAACCCAGCTAAGTGAAGGCAGAGTCACCACCATGACTACTGGAGCATTCTGATCAAAGATGTTCAACTAGTCATGTCTAGGTAAAAACAAAACACAGCATTTTGGATAAAGAGTAATCAGTATGTACTCAAAAAATAAATCCCAACTTACCTGAAATTTAGAAAACTACAAGATGACAATTCAGAATAGAAAGCATACTGTCAGAGTAAATTACCTGTAAATGTTTGGGTCCAACAGCAAGGCAGTATCTTTGGGTAGCTTTGATAAATGAACTACTTTAGTTTTTAACTGATGTCGTTCACTTTCATTCACCCACACATCTGGCAGACTATGAATTAAAGAAAAGAAAAGCCAGTGATGTACAGTTATCATAGACTTATCCTCAGTCTTTCCTGCTGCTCTGACAGGGACACCTATGTGCTTCTGCAAAGACAGATGTGTCATCTCATCTAGTCAGGACCAGACACAGACCACAGCACACAGCCAATGAACAGCATTTGAGGTATAGGGTAGACTAGGAATTTGTACAGCCTGGCTTCTAACAAAGTGAAGTCAATGGAAATCTCACTGTTTCTTCACTAAAAAAGGAAAACTCCATCAGTGTGTGAACTCAGTAATACAGCAAATACCAGGAGTGCAAAGGAGAGGCCTCTCATAAGACTGAACCCACATGAAATGAAAGAAAATATAATGCATGTATGTGACCAAATTCTGAATTTAAGATATTTAATCCTACAAAACATTCAGAGTACTTTGATATCTGTATTGTGCAATTTCTATAATAGTGGGATTGTAAAGGCATTTAAATTTGACATTTAAAAAGATCTGTTTTTATTTTGAGTGTTCTATCTATGTTTATGCCTGTGCACCATGCATGTGCCTGATGCCCTAAAAGGCAAAAAGAGGGTATCTGGAGTCATGAATGCCATGTGGCGCCATGTAGGTGCTGGGAATCAAACCTGGCTCCTCAAAGATCAGCATCAAAAGAGAATAAACTTAGAAATTTATCTTTTTAAAACAGCATCAAGCACAGCATGGTACAAGCCCCGGAACAGAAAACAGAAGAGTCAAGAACTCAAAACCTGCCTGGGCTCCATGCAACCTGGTCTCAAATCCCTACCCAACCCTATTTTTGTTTAAACAAACAAACAAACTGTATAAGACAGGCATAGTAGTTCACATCTCTAATCCCATCACTCTAAGAGGTGGAGGCAGGTGATTACAAGTTCACCAACAGTGAGTGGGTCATGGGAAGAGACCCTGACAGCTGCTTAGGTGTTACCCAGGTAGCAGCTTTCTAAATGAACTTGAGACCTACTCCACAAAGACAATTGTGCTTTATAACCTGGCCAAGCAGCCATGCAGGAGAGGTCAGAAGCTCCAATGAGTATCTCCTGCTGACACTAAGGTTCCACACTGATTAGTGGCCCTCTCAGGCCTCATCAGAAACTTCCTTGAGGTGGGCACAGTTAATTAAAAAGTATAAAAATCTCCTAGAATGTTCAATTGCCAATTCTACAACCTCAGAGAACAGCATAATTCAATTTATCTTAAGATTTATATTTTAATACGTTAAATAATTTTAAGAGACAGGGTTTCTCTATGTAACAGCCCTGGCTATCCTAGAACTTTGTAGACCAGGCTGGTCTTGAACTCACAGAGATTTCCCCCTGCCTCTGCCTCCCAAACACTGGGATTAAAGGCATGTGCCACTACTGCCTGGCAGAATAAAATTTTTTACACACAGTATTTCAAATACTTACATGTCTTCAGGCATCCAATGAAGCAAAAGCTTTATCTTTCCAGATTCCTCCTTTCTCTTAGCTATTACCTAGTAACATTACAAAAAAAAAAAAAAAAAAAAAAAAAATTAAAAAAAAAAAAAGCTATAAAACACCATTTTTCTAGACTATTAAGAAGAATTTGAAGTGGCCATACCCAACATAGGAAAGGCACTACCACCACAAAATCCATTATCACACCTGCTTTACACATTCCAACCTCTTCCCACAATACTGAAATCACCACTGGGCCTGTACTTACATGAACATAACGAAATGTATACTCATAATTTAAAAGTAAATAAATGAATTTTTTTAAGCTCCAAGCAACAATGTTAAAGCAATTAATTAATGAGTGTCACAATGGGTCAGCAGTTAAAAGCACTTACTACAAGGCTGGATTTTACTCTTGATCTACATGGGGAAAGAGAACCAATTCCCAAGTGTCTTCTGATCTTTTTGACACAGGTAAAACAGTGAGTAAGAAACCAAACTTGGTGGCACACATCTATAATCCCAGGCAGGAGGGCCAAGCTCCTAAGTAACCTGGGCTTCTGGAGACCCAAAGCTGCTGCAAAGAAGATCTACTTCACAAGGAGACATGTGTCTACCTGGGCATTTACTGCCCTATGTGGTGGGTCTGCCATAAGTAACTCACCTACCTATCTAGACATTGTATCAAACCATTGTCATGTTAGCAGTCTGAAAGCCAAGGTGACACCTGGTGTTGTCAATCTCTACACCATGTACCAAATTCAAGTTACAAATAGCCAAGTAAATACTACAATGTTATTCTAAAAACATAGCACAACTAAAAAACAGAACTTTAAACAAAATCCAGTTACTTCTCCATTATATTAAAAAACATAAATGCCTTAACTTTAGACTTGGTATAACTCAAAAGTAGATGTGGAGGTACTAAAAGCAGAACCCTACAATGAGAACGAAAGCCGGGAGATCACAGTAACCCAACTGGAAGCTGGGGATCTGGTGACCTCTTCTGGAGAAAACTTCAATTAAGACATGCACATGTAAACCAGTCTAAACGCTAAACACTGAGGTTATTTCCTACAACAGTTAGTAACAAGAATACTCATATTTACAGTTTGTATTAAGCATTTCTGCTTAAAGTAGGTGTTTAAGAAATGTTTTAAGAAAGTATCTTACTATGTAGACCTGGCTGACCTAGAATTCCAGAGATTATCTTGCCTCTGCCTCCCTAATGCAAGATTAAATGTATGCTTCATTGGTCTGGTTTGTGTGCATTAGTGCATTTTTAGAAAGCTGAAGTCTGGGATTTGAAGCCAGTCTGTGTAGACTGTGCCCCAAACTTTTCCTTATTATGTAAAGGTTGATTGTACTAATATACATTGGTATCTATCAAACGAATACCTTGAGAACCTGGTGGCTGGTTCCTCTCTAACTCACAAGGATGTCCTACCCTTCACTTGGCTTTCTCAGGTAATGTACCTCTACTTACACTCTGTCTATCCTCTTCCCAGTCTAGGTCCTGGTGCTCATGTATGTGCGGGTTGGCATCCTTCATCCTTCAATTACTAAGCATACAACATACACTAGACTGTCCTTAATTTCCACATTCTTAACCTCATTTCCTTTCTTTTGGAGAAGGAGGATTCCCTACTTTCTTATCATCAAAACGACAGGGATATTTAATTTAATTGGGATTATTTACACACATAATACATAGGGGTAAAAAAAAATGATGGGGCATGCAGATACACACACACACACACACACACACACACTAAAGTCTCTTCCTGTTTTAAATAGTTATTTTTAAGGCCAGGCTTGGTGAAGCACACTTTTTTGTTGCTGGTGGTTTTTTTGTTTGTTTTTGAGACAGGGTTTCTCTAACAGTCACAGCTGTTTGGGAACTCACTTTGTAGTCAAGGCTGCCCTTGAGCTTGCCTGCCTCAGCCTCCCAAGTGATGGGATTAAAGGTATGCACCACCACCCTCTCAAAACATATCTCAAGCATTGGCTTTATTTGTTTATTTAATAATTTTTTGCCCATGTGCGCACATATAGAGGACAGTTCAGTGTGCAACAACATGTAGGTCCCAGGGATCCAACTCAGGTTGTTAGGGCCAGAGTCAAGAGTTCTCGTTCACTAAGGCACCCTTCCACTGTACTGTAGTTTCTGTTGTTGCTGAGTTTTCTGCACCATACCTTTTGAGATAAGGAGCTCTTATAAGATAAGGTAGGCATCTTCCTACCTCACTTCCCAGCCCTGGAGTTACACAGCTAAGGCTCAATCAAGTCTTAAAACCACCTTTCTTTCAAGCTTGACTCAGGACTAAGGTTCTTGTCGGTGTGTTCTCAAAACATTTCCACTGCAAGACAAGATGTGTGCTCCTACTCGTTAATTTACATGTATTTATTTGTGTGTTATGAAAGAGAGGTAGGTGTAGGTGCTCACATGTCACAGCACATATATGGGGGTCAGGGGAATTCGTAGACTTCCATTCTCTCCTACCAGGTAGGTGCCAAGGAGCAAACTCAGGTTAGCAAGCTTGGTGGCAAACACTTTTGGTCAATGAACCATCTTACTGACCCCAGGTTCCTTTTCTGCCTTACTAACCTGTTACACAGAAACCAAAGTTACACTTACACACACCTGGTCTACAGAGTTCCAGGACAGTCAGGGCTACAGAGAAACCCTGTCTCAAAAAACAAAACAAAACAAAAAAGCATACACACACACAAAAAAACAAAAGCCAGTAGGTTCCATAGGATGGGCACTGATGGGAGATGCAAAGCCAAATAGGCAGGACTAGGAGAGAGGAAGTAGTAGGGAGGAGAATCCAAGATGGAGGACAGAGACCACGTGGAAGTACTTAGATTAATAGACATGGGTTAATATTTAAGAAAGAGCTAGCTGATAAGAAACTAGTAACTGGCCTACAGCTTTATATGAAAGACAGCCTTTCTGTGTATTATTTGGGGCTGGCGCAGCTGTGGGTCCAGGCTGGCAGGGGAAAACATACTCCTAACACTCGTAACATGGGCACAGGAACATGAGTGAATTACACAGGTGACAATGATATGTTCTATGGTTTCGCTGAGTGGTTTTATCAATTGATGACTACTCAAGTTTTACTGACTTGCCCACTTGCCTCTCATCTATCTCCAACTTTATTCCCTCCATTTATATTTACTACCTGTGGGGTTTTTTGTTGTTGCTGTTGTTGCTGTTTTGTTTTTTTCCCAAGCATAGTCAAACCTGAAATATTATGTAAACAATTCAAAGTGTTTTCCTTAACTTTTCTTAACCTCTCTAACTATGCTGTTCATACTCCAAAAACTGAACAAAAGAAATCTCATTATAGGAGATAAAGATGTCAATTTATGATCAATCCCAACAATTAATACTTCAAATCTCCATTTTGTTGAAAGAGAAAGCAAAAGTTGACCACTTCTAGCATATTTCATATTTCATATTTCAAAGTGAAGACTAGGCTAGGGAAGTGGTAATTGGCAAGGATACTTGCTGCATAAGTCTAGAGATCTGAATGCAATCCCTAGAAACCATGTAAGGATGGAGGAAATTACTGAGTCCAAAGCAATCACACACATATCATGACTCTGCACAATCAAGATTCTTATCTGTCTCTGTGTGTATGTATGAGAAGGGGAGGGGTGAGCAGAATGCCCGTAAACTACAAGAGGGAGTTGGCCCCCATGGAGTTGGGAGTTACAGATGGCTATGAGCCACCTGACGCGGTGCCAGGTCCTCCACAAGAGCAGCAATCACTCTTAACTACTGAGCCATCTCTCCAGCACCAATAATAATTTTAAAAACCAAAATTACACCTTTATTTTTCTAAGAATTCAAAATGCCAGAAGTCTTACCAAGAGACCTTTGCAAAGCTATACCAATTTAAAAACCAGTGGAAAAGGACTAGAGTCTCTTTGGCTGCTGGCTCAGAGGTTAAGGGTATTTGCTGCCCTGGAAGGGAACCTGGGAACCTGAGTTCAAATACTAGCAACCAGCTCACAGCTGTTCCTAAATCCAATTTCAGGATATCTGACCTTCTCAGACACCGGACACACATGGCGCACAGTGTACAAGCATGCACACACATACACATAAAATTAAATATTGTTTTTAAAAAGAATGGACAACAAAATTAGTTTCTAGCTAACCACAACTAAAATGATCTTATTATAGTTTTGCTTTTTCCAAAATGGCATTCTGCTTATTCTGGATTGAAAACCTAGCCTCAAGAAATAGTTGACTCTCTACAGCATGCTGGCCGCCACAATTCTAGGAAACTGGGTATACCTGACAACAAAGCACATTATAACATCTCTTCCGGATTCATGATCTGATGACCTCCATTACACCCCCACCCCACCTCCAGCTCTGCCTGGCTATGGCTTTTGGTACTAGGGACTGGGGATTGAACCTAGGGCCTCATGCATGCTAGGAAATGAGTTCTATCACTGAGCTACATCCCTAGTCTTCATTTTGAGTAAGTCTGCTGCCTGGGCTAGCCTTATACTTACTCTGTAGCCCAGGCAGGCCTTGAACCTATGATCCTCCTGCTTCCACATACACAGTGTTGGAATCACAGGCATGCACTACCACATCCAACAATTTTTGTGACTATAACAAAAATTCCTAAATTTTGAGCAATTTAGAAACATATCATAAAAGCCAACTTTTACTTTTCCCCCCAAGTCTCTATAATTTGAAAGAAAAACAGAATACTTACAGTACTATGGAAAACAACACTGTGTCCTTTCCCTAAACTTTCTATATGAGCCGAGAGGTTAAAGCATATGGCTCGATGTCTTATGGCATCCAGTGTTTGTGCATCGAAGAAATCATGTGGTCGCGCTAAAAGTCAACACAAAAACAATACAAAAAAACAAAATTACGGACAGTTTAGAAAAATCTGCTAAATGCTATTTTCCAAACCCAGGAGAAACGCAGCTTTAACTGGAGAGATTAGCAAGTCCTGCCCAGTGCCTAGTCCCATGTATTTGTGTTAAGTGTAGAGCTCTGATAATGTGAGAACAGGCAAAATTCCAAGTATAATGAACACAACAACTCCATTATCCCCAGCTCCTTAGCCTCATCCTCCATCACTCTACATTCAGCATCTACCTGTGTAACAAGGTAGACGTGACTTCATGAACATTCCATTTTTATATGCTATCAAAATCTTTCCCAGTGTGAAAAAAGCAATATTATTTTCATGCTTTCAACCAGTGTTTTCTTGAATACAAATAAATGTTTTAAGTAAGAACATGAAATTGCACATAAAAATCTGAGATGGCACCTACATTGCCAGTCAAGTCTTGAACACTGGAGGGCTCAAATAATCCTTTTACCTCAGCCAGGTATGACTACAATCCTAGGGATTAAAGCCAGGGCCTCCCCACACATAAGACAAAGCACTCTACCCCCGTCAATGCATTTCTAAGTAACAGTAAGCTCAAAGTCTCAATCAGTTCTCAACTATATAACTGCACACACACGGCTTAACCTTCATCAGACTGTTCTTTTCTTTTTGTAATAATTTCTTTGATTTCTGAGACTGTCTCACTGTATGGCCCAGGGTGGCCTGAAATCATTCACATGGCCCAGGTTGGTCTCAAACACATAACAACCTCTTCTTTCGTATATCAAAATAAAATCACAGTTAAGTCAGGTTCAGAAGCTCACTCTAAGCTCTTGGGATCAGGAGTTCAGAGCCAGCCCAGAGAATGTAGCAAGATCCAGTCTCAGACACCCAGAAATTATGTGGTCTCCAAGCACTGTGTCTAAGCATTGTGGGGGTTGAAGTAAAGACAACCCTGGTTTCTAATCCAGCCTTGACTGGAAAGAGAAAAGGAAAGAAGTATGCGTATATGACCAGGATGAATTACCCGAGTAAAATGCTAACAGTATTTTAGAGGAAAAACAGAATTCAAACCACAGCACTGTCTGTCTGTACAGCAGTTCCGAAAAGTGAAAGGCTTTCCAGGTTTTAAAGTTTCAAGAGCAACAAACATTCATTCTCTACAAACAAACAAACCGAGTCCCAAACAGTAACAAGTGCTTCCTTCCATCCACACCTGTCCATCCTCAGCAGCTGGCCTTAACAGAAACTGCAGGTCAGAGCACATCTCCTCAGGCACATCCGCCAGTGCCAGGCGTGACTGGGTGCTGAACGGCAGCACCTTCGCTCTCTGAGAATGCTGAGCAGGCACAAGCGGAATCAGAAGATCAAGGGTTTGAGACCAGCCTGGGCTAAGCTGAAAGGAAAAAAAAAAGCAAAAAGGGGCCTGGATTGGTGGCACACACCTATAACCCCAGCTGTGGGCCTCTGTGGGTTCCAAGCCAGCCTCGTTTACAGTGAGACCTTGTCTAAAAGAGAAGCCAATTGTGTAAGCACTGCTAAGTAGCGGGAACTGTGAATAGATGAAATGAGGACGCAGTGTGAACTGAGGGGCAAGCGCCCCGGGTCTCCACTGCAATGTTCAGCAGTTTTCTTTTTCCTGTTTCACATTCATGATGGAGGGAGGAACATGTCAGTGCCTTGGTGCATGTATGGAGGTCAGAGAGATGACTAATTAATCCTCTTCTTCCGCCATGTGGGCTCCAGGGATCACACGTACACCATCAAACTGGTGGCAGGATGGCCTCTGTCAGACAACCTCTGCCTCCATGTTACTGGCCTAACTTCCCTCAGAGACAAACTGTAGGAAACAATTCAGGAGAAACAAAAAGTTCTTCTCCTTTGTGACCAATCGCTGTATCTTTGCACTAACAAAACTTTCAGTGTTTTAGAGACCAGCTTTGTGACCCGAGTCCTGCGTCTGCCTTTCCCTCTTTCCGCAGTCAAGCCTGCGGGCTCCTTGCACACATCAGTCTCCCTTCCTTCTTTCACTCATCACCCAGAGCGCTCCACTCAACGTCTCTTCGCTCCAGAGACTTAAGATGGTGCCCGGCAGTCTCCAGGTTTCTTTCGGGTTAATTCCTACCCTCAGCACGGTACACCAATCATCTAATTATTCTAACCTCAAATAGCAAAGGAATATTTTATAACCCAGAAATTAAGATGATGGGAGATGTCATTCTGTATGTTTCTCATACTGGTTAATGAATAAAGCACTGTTGGCCAATAGGAAAGCAAGGTAGGCGGGACTAGGAGACAAGGAGGAAACAGGAAGTAGTAAGAAGGGTCAGCATGGAGAGACCGGGGAGACCAGACGCCTGCCGCACTCCCTGGTAAGGAGACCAGGTGGAAATACATAGAAATGGCTTAATAATTAAGACAGAGCTAGCCGATAAGAAACAAGTAACGGGCCAATAGAACTGTGTATAATACAGAGTCTAGTGTGTTCATTGGGGCTGGCGCGGTGGTAGGACAAAACCAGCGTGGCAGGAAAAACATAACTCCTTACATATGTTCATGTCACAAACACATCTCACACATATTCTACACTTTCATTGATAGCTTACTTAATTTATTTGATTTTTATTTCTGACATGCTCAAAATTTTCTCAAGTACTTGTAGAAACAAACACTGCCATGTTTTAACTTTTCCTAACTTAGTATAACAAATCAAAGTACCACTAGTATCTAATTCTCTGAATATATATAGTTTATATTCTACAATCACAAACACTTAGTACTCCTTTTGCTTCTACAGACACTTGTCACTAGACTCTTATGCTGACGACAGACAGGCACCATATTATCCCACACAAGCTGAACTCAATACCAGTTAAACCAGACTTCCTTAAAGCCCTTTTCCACACGAAGGCTCCAAGTGAACACTTACGTAATGAACGCCGTCTTTTGTTCTTTAGTTTCCTCCTCTTGTTCATCCCAGCTTTAGAAGGAGATTCTTCTTTGGCCTTTGGCTGGCTAGAAACTTTTGAGGAGTTCTGCTGACTGAAGTGTGTGGGTACATGGCGAGCTAGCCCTCCCTGAGAAGCAAAGCTGGCATTGCAGCCACCAACTACACACTAAAAAGAAGAAAGAGAAGGCTGTCATGTCAGGGTTACACATGAGGCGTGAGCACAGCTTCAGGCCAAGGATGCTTTCAGCAGTACACTGCAGCACAACACTGGTCCTAGAAAAGACACAGGAAGCCTTTCTTTTACACGCGCACTTTAATACTTGTTTTCACGGCCTCTCTACTGCACCCAGACAAAACCTATGGGATCATCTGCCTAGAGATGGCTTTGAATAAACCATGCTTATAACCATAACAAGAAACTGACTCCCAATGGTTACTCTAATCCCTAGATTGTATTTATATTTAAAAAGGATCTCCCTATCAAACCCTAGATAGTCTAGAACTTATTATTTAGACCAGGTTGGTCTCAAATTCAGAGATCCTCCTGCCTGACCCCCCTCCCCCAAGAGTGCTAGGATTAAAGCCATGCAACACCATCAATAAATTATAAACTAAGCAGCTGGGCACCAGTGGTGAATGTCTTTAATCCCAGCACTTGGAAGGAGGATCTTCAGATGCCTCCCTGCTTTTCTATATACTGTTTTAACGAGGAGGAAAGAAATTTAAAAATAGAGTTTGAAAATTTTTGTTTATTTGTTAGATTTCTAGATCTAATCTCTGTTAGAATACATTCTCAGATCCAATCTACTTAGTTTCTGACTTGGAAAATAAACTACAAATGTGTAATTAGTAAAGTTCAGCACTAAACATCCAAAACACCACCACACAAGACACTATCAACCCTAACTTTGGAAAACGTGAACAGTCCTGATTCCCTTTGCAAAGTACCAAGCTGTATGCTCACTTGGGCAGAGACAAGAGGATCTTTGAGGCTAGCCTGGTCTACAAAGCTAGTTGAAGGACAGCCAAGTACACAGAGAAGGGGAGGGTTAGATTGTAAGACAAGACAATCTTATCAATGGAGTTTTCCTCAAGTAACTTAAATACAATCAGTCAACAACACACAATTAAGATAAAATAGCCTGGGGCTAAAGAGGTGACTCACAGTTAAAGAGTACTGGCTGCTCTTCTAAAGGAGATTCAATTCCCAGCACCCACATAACAAACAACTCACAGCTGTCTATAACTCCAGTTCCAAGGGATCTGAAACCCTCACAGACATACATGCTGACAAAACACCAATGCACATAAAAAAATAAGTTAAAAAAAAAGAAAAATAAGCCCATTCAACGCATGATTTTAGCAAAACAGAATATGCACTTGCAAAAGAATGAAATTAAACCACATCTCCCCTTGCACAAAAACCAAGTCAAACAAACTTTCAAAAGACCTTCATTTACACCTAAATTCAAGCTGCTAAGAAAAAAAAAAAAAAAAAAGTACTTCAAAATAAGCACAGGAGCTGGAAAAATGGGTCAGCTAGTTAAATCTGCTGACACAGTTTGGATGTTGGCAGCCCATCCACACAAGGCACAGAAGCATACATCTATAATCCCAACGAAGGATACCCAGACAGATTAGACAAATTGGTGAGATTAGGCTCAATGAGAGGCCTCCCTTGGGTGGATAGAGACTAGGGATGTAGCTCAATAAGCAGAGTGGTTGGTTACAGAGTGCACAAGGCCTGGTTCAACCCACAGTACCTCACTTCCAAAGACAAGCAGGGTCAGGTAGTCCAGACCACCAGCAACTGGGAAAACACCCACTGCCACTATCTGACCTAGATAGGAACATGTATGTCCCTCACCCACACACATACATAATATAGGCACAGCTATTTTTTTCTGAACAAGACTCTAATTAACACAGGAAATAAAACCAAGAATTACAGAAAATCAAAAAGCTTCAGTGCAGCAGGTTAATATCTAAGATATACAAATAACTATAAAAATGAAACACCAAAAAGTTAAAAACAAAACAAAAAGAAGAAACATCCTGGCAATCAGGAAAATGAGATAATGAACTCTATCCTCCACACACACATGTGTAAGCATATACACCCAGACATGCTTATAAACACATAAATATTTAAATTTTCCTGTCTGGAGAGATGTCGGTGGATAAGAACTGCTCTTGAAACTGACTGGAGTTCAAACTCCACCCACATTGGACAGCTTCAAGAGATCCAATGTCCTCTTCTGGCCTCCACAGGAACCTATACACATGTCTATGAGTGCACTCACACACACGACAATAATAATAATAGTAGTAGTAATAATAATAGTAATAAATAATAATAACAACAACAACAAAGCTTTAGTGAGGCTTGGTGGCACATGCTTTTAATTCTAGCACTTGAGGTAGGAGGAGCAGCTCTCTGAATTTGAGGACCGCCTGAGTTTCAGGCTATCCAGGATCTCAACAATTACCTCATGATGAGCATCCTGTTCTCAGCTTCAAACTGACGTGCACAGAAGTGAGCCACTGCAGGTGACTCAAAAACATTACTTATTAACTAACAAACAATCTGATAATAAGTCAACAAAACTTTTAAGTGGCCAAAGACTTAAACAGGACAGAGACAGCGCACATGAAAATGCTCAGTAGCATCTAAGAAATTAAAACACAGCCAGACAGAGCTCTGAAGCAGAGCGCTGACCTCATGTGCACAAGACCATTGGGTCCTATCTCTGGAAAGATCAAAATGTCAAGCTACAATAGGTAAGATTATTCAAACTTCTTAGCCAAAATCAGAAATGCTGGTAATACCAAGACATTGTGTACACAGAAACCAAGTGCATGTGTGCAATCCAAAGGTGAGTGGAAGATGTCCACAGACAGCTAAATTAATAGCAAACAAAGATCGAAGACAATCCACAGCCAATGAGAAACAGGGAGAGACAGAAACACTGTAGGTTAACCCTTCTGTGGAACCTCACACAGCCATTTTATACAAAGGGGAAAACGGCTGCTTCATACAATTTCAATTAATCTTACCAATAATTTAGTGGATGAAAGAAAAAACAGAGCTGAGGGCTCACACAACTAAGGCAAGATAGCAGATATCAGAACAGGAGTGACCTATGGCAAGGGACAAATAGAGCAGAAAGGGATCAAAGTGTTTAGTGGTCCAAGAGAATGAAATCAAAACCAAGAGACACAAATTCACATAATAAAAGCTATTAATAGGGTAAGCTTGTTACAGCATAAATGAGAACACTGTATTTAAAATAGTTCAGCAGTTACACACTATATAGTTCATACTCAACTTTCTGCAAGGCCAAGGCATGGGGGGCGCACATGCCTGTAAACGACACCCAGACTGAGGCAGGAGAACAGCCCGGGCTGCTATACTGGAAACTTTGGGTCAATGGAACATACAGCAAGGCCCGACACAAAAGGCAGAGGGAGGAAAGAGGGAAGGGACTGTATTTATCTGTCGTTCCAGTTCCTAAAAAGCTGAACTGTGGATAAATTAATGAAACAAAATTGTAATTATATATGCAGGAAGACAGTACAGTAGCAACAAAATGGGGGGAGGGGGCACCTCACCATGTTGCCCAGGCTAGCTTCAAATTCCTAGGCTCATACAATGCTTCCGCTTCATCCTTGCAATTCCCCAGGCCTGCGTGCATGCACCTCTGGTTCTGAATGTTCCCTTTTAAGATAACCCAAGAATGACTACATTCTCTGACAAACAAAACCCAAAGGAGTCTCCATGCATGATGGATGCTCACTTTGAACTATGGTTTTAACAGTTACTGGACTTCTTACAGTGGCCCTCTGAATTCTGTGGTATATGCGTGCCATAATTAGGAAACAAAGTACTCTCCACGGGTGTTGCCTCCAGAGTGCTGGGACTTTAAAGGCTCAGCATTCGGGAGGCAGAGGCAGGAGAAGGGTCTCTGTGATTTCGAGGCCAGCCTGGTATAAAGAGCGAGTTTCAGGACAGGTTCCAAAGCAATACAGAGAAAGCCTCTCTCAAGAAACGAAAAAATAAATAAATAAAACAAAGTATTCTCTCATATTTTAAAAGTCAAAAGAATTCTTCCAGAAACTTACATTTTAAAGATTTCCCAGAACATGCCCGGGAGGTGGAAATGCACTCCTTTAATCTCAGACAGAAAACAGGAGGATGTCTGTGAGTTAAGAGGCCAGCAGCCTGGTCCATACAGTAATTTCCAGGACAGCCAGGATTATAGAGAAACCCTGTCCCAAAAGGGGGTGGTGCACTTTCTAGAACACATCTATTTGACAATGATGTTCAACCTCAAAACTGAATTTTAAAAATACATTTATTTTCCATAGCTTCTTTATTCCATAATAGTATTATCTGCTAATAAGGCTTAAACCTCTGACAGTATATTGCTTAACATTACCTGTCATTTGCTGTTTTAAAGGACCCTCATCTAACAGTGAATTTGCTGTTCTTTAAACTGAGTTTTATTATCTTTATCTCTAGCTACTTTTGTAATTTAAACATCAATAAAAATGTTCAAACAAAGGGATCTTTTCATGTTTTAGAAGGCACTGGGAACAAGTCTGTGGGAAAGCGTTTGTTTCAATGGGTCAAAGCATGCTCAGTACACAGGTCAGCCAGGCATGGGGGCTCAGCCTGTAACCTAAAAGACTGGAGAGGCCAAGGCACCAGCATTGGCAACTTTGAAATCAGCCTGGCCGACATTAGGAGCTCCAGGGTCACATGAGCTAAGATTACAGAGTGAGACTTTACCTTTAGAAAGAAGATGAGTTCACAGTATGACTTTAGGAAGCCCGCACACACATACCTTGAAAGGTTTGTCTCCACTGTGTGTCAGCATGTGCCGCTGCAACCAGCTCTGACTGGTTGATGGGGTGTTATACACCTTACAACCTTTCCACAAGCAAACGAACACCTGTTAAAAGGGGAACAATGGTCACTTAACTCAATAAAGACTCTCGTCACTCAAAATTTCAAATATGATGAAAATCTTCAACTGATTAAAAGCCACTGACTGGCATACAATCAAAACACACTGCACTCTATAGTTTCCCAACCAGGAGGAGCTTCGCCGATTCTCAATGGTGCATCTTCTCCCTTAGGGAGAAACCTACAGACCCCTCAGGATGAAGTCACAAAAGACGACAATTTCCACACACTAAGACAACTTTACTTACGATTTTATAATAAATTTGCTACTTCTCAATACCAGGAAAACATGAAAATGATCAATAAACATTAACTAGTAAATAAGCTTTTAACATCAAGAATGAGTCAAAAATCACACTTTATATAAATCACATTCAAATTTTAAAAGAAATATTTTTGTTATCAAAGTTTCTGCTCATGGGTACTTTCAGCTATCTTTTTGTTTGTTTGCCGCCCCCCCTCCCTCACCCCCCCCCCCCGGGACAGGGTTTCTCTGTGGTTTTGGAGCCTGTCTTGGAACTAGCTCTTGTAGACCAGGCTGGTCTAGAACTCACAGAGATCCACCTGTCTCTGCCACCGAGTGCTGGGATCAAAGGTGTGCGCCATCACAGCCCAGCTACTTTCAGCTATCTTAATTCTAAAGTAAATATATAGAGGTAAGTACAACTGACCTATCACTGTGAAGAACGACATTCTCAACCTCAGGAAACCAAATCTGACTAAGTCTGGAAAGTTCCAGCCTAACTTTCCCTTAGTGAGATTTCCTGAGTATTTGCCAGAGCCCACAGAGACGGCTCTGTTTGATCCTGGCTTAAGGTCAGAGAGTTCAAAACTGTCCTTACTCTTCCAAGGTTAAAGACATAAGACCTAATGGTCTAAGGCACGGCTACTGTAAGATGTTTGGTCTTAGTCATGGATGTCTTTTCGAAATAACAAGAGACTTGCTCTGAAATGTAGTTACTCTTGACCTTCAAGGCCGGATTACAAGAAATTAAGTCTAAGGTGTGGTTACCAAATGTTTGGAGAATTAAAGAAGAAAGTCCGTTCCTTGTATCTGGATAAAGAAGTCTTTTCGGCATGCCCCCCCCCCTTTTTTTTTTTTTTTTTTCTGGGGTATTTAAGAATGGTGAAGAATAAACTTGGCATGTTCAGTGTTCACTAGATTACCCTTTCAACTCTATCCTATGTGTCTGTTTTTTCCTGGCATCTTTATCTGTTTCTCAGTGCACACTCCCCCTCTCAGGTAAGAGCAGGGCAAGTCAGCTAGATCCAACAAGTGTTCCCATCACTGGCAACTGTCCCATTGCAGTCTTGCCCTAAAAGAGCTGGCACCTTGAGCCTCAAAACAATACTTGAGACCTTGGCTCAAAATAAAACAAACAAAAAAAATCTACTTGAGAGTCTTCTTCCTAAAACAACAATCACACCCAGAACCACTTCAGTACCACGAGCACTATATACAGAGCACACAGGCCTGACCCCAGCTCCTTAGCAGGCACTGCAAGGTCTGGGACTGCTGTGTGACCCTGAAGTTGGCAGAGTACTTGCCTAGAATACACAAAACATGACCCACGTAATGACCCATGCCAGCAACTGAGAGATAGAAGCAAATCTGAGGCCAGCCTGGACTACATGAGACCTTGTCTCAAACAGAACTTACTCTAGCAAGACAGCATCACTGCTGGCTGCCCTTCTAGGTGACTGAGCCCATGGTACCACACGTACACTGCATTCCGGAACACTTCCTCTCCCTCCTCACTGACTCCTGGCCCTCCTATATTCATCCTATGTTTCACAGTCCAAGTTTTAAAAGTTCCTTTAAGCCAGGCTGGCAGAGCAGGCTTGTAACTGTAGCTGCTCAGCAGGATGAGGCAGGAAGATGAATACAAAGCCTGCTTGGGCTACAAATGAAGTTCAAGGGGTAAATCACAGGGTACTACTCATGTTCAACACACGCCACCAGAAAAACCGTTTCCAAGATTACTTTTAGACCAGTAAGGTGGCTCAATCAGCAAAGGTATTTGCTGCCAAACCTGATAATCCAAGTTCAATCCCCAGACCCACATGGTAGAAGAGCCAATTCTGGCAAACTGCCCTCTGATCTCTCTCTACACCACACACACACACACACACACACACACACACACTCTCTCTCACACAATGAACAGTGGATAAATGTAATACAAACATATTTAAACAGATAATTTAAAGGTTACTTAAAAGTAAACCTACTGGATATAATGAGTAGCATGCCTTTAAACTCATCACTGAGGAGGTAGAAACAGGCAGATCTGTGCATTTAAGGCCTGCCTGGTCTACATAGTGAAACTCTGTCTCAGAATTGATTGGTGGCTGGTTTTCTGACATAGGTACCACAGTGTAGCTCAGGGTGACCTCTATCTTCATTCAACCTCTTATGTGCCAACATTTTTACATATCTGCTTTATTAATCTGAAATCTCAAGTGACTACTCTTAACTAAGGAAATGTAGGGCTTTTAGAGGGACCCTATCTCAAAACACAAAATTGAAAAGAGGGTAAGGCAGAACCTAAGATTTTAGATGCACATTTGTAGCTCTTCATGTGTGGCTATGGTTTACTTCATGCTACTTTATTTAATGCCTTTTTTAATGTTTATGTGTTTTACCAAGTTAAGTGCTACTACAACCAGAACCCAAGTCCTCTGCAGCCTGTGCTCTTAATCACTGAGCCATCACCTCAACAGCCCATTTTTCGGTTCTGAGATAATCTCACATGTAACCTCAGAATCTAACTAGGCATCATCCTGTCTCAGCCTCCTAAGCAGGCAAATGCCAGTATTTCTGGCCTTAAAAAATATTTTTGTATTTGACTTTTTAAACCATGTCTAATGTAAAGTGATCTCGTTTTCTTGTTGTCTGAGGCAGGGTCTCACCACCTGGCCCTGGCTGGGACTTGCTATGTACACAAGGCTAACCTCAAACTTACCAAGACCCAACTCTCACTGCTTCCCCGGTGCTGGCGTTAAAGGTCTACTTCACCAGACTCAGCAATGGGTCCTATACATCAATTCAGGGTTAGCTAGTTCAATACCTTCACAGCCCAGTCTGAGGAGACATGGGGAAGCTTATGTATTATTGGGGAACTCTGGACAAAGCACACACAGTAACAGGCTGACCAGAACTCAGGAGACAGAGGGGAAGAAAGCATCACAAAGTCAAGGCCAGCATGATGATCCCAAAGCGTTCCAGGCCTATCTCAAAAAGACACCTGTGCCACTACTGAGAGCCCAGAGTACAGACACAACTTATTACACACACTTAACACAAAACATTCATCTTTATCCTTCTTTTTTTAATTATACAAAACATTCTCATGGTTTTTATATCTTGTTTGCTATTCTGTGATATTAATCCAGGGTAGCCTAGATATCCCTACCTCAGCCTGAGTGCTAGGATTATGTAACACCCAGGTTTTCCACATAATTCTCTAAAGTATACTCATAACCTATCGCTTAAGTAATTTAATCTCTAATAAGCCCATCCACATAAGCCCATCGGGAATGGTGCTGAACAGAGATGGCTCAGCAGTTAAGAGCACCTCTCTACAAAGACCAGAATTCAATTCACAGCATTCAAATGGCAGCTCACAACTGTCTATATCTCCAGTCAATGTAGGCACCAGACATGCATAGACATGCATGTAAGTAAAACACCCATACACATAAAAATAAATAAAAAATTTAAAGGGGTTGGAAAGATGGCTCAGCAGTTAAGAATACTTGCTATTCTTGCAGAGGATCTGGTTTTAGTTCCCAGAACCCACATAGTGGCTCACAACCATCCATAGGCATGTATAAAAATATACATAGACACATAAGCAAAACATCCATACAAATGAATCTTTAAATGTTGGGTTTGTTTTGTTTGTCTGTTTTTTCATACAGGGCTTCTCTGTGTAACAGCTTTGACTATCCTGGAATTCACTCTGTAGACCAGGCTGGCCTCCAACTCTGCTTCTCTTGTGCCGGAATTAAAGGCATGTGCTACCACTGCCTGACTTTTAAAAAGAAAAGAAAATCAACTGTTCAGTAGCCAATTAAAATTAAAGGTCACATGGATGTGGCAACAGAGACAACTTGAAGCTCACAGAGATGGAGATGTCTCTATACTATTACTACTGGGCTCTTATTTCTCCCAGGGTAAGGATTACAGAAGAAGGGGGGGGGGGGCAAAAACCAGAAGATAATATAGTATTTAAATCCTACCACCTTACTACTCCAGTAAAACTCATCTTTTTCTGTTTCATGATGACACTTTAACCTTTAGAGAAAAAAGAAATCTAAAAGCATCACTAGGCAATCAAAGTCAGATATTCCCTACTCATATAAGGTATAAAAAGGCTGTGCCTAGACTCAGTGTTAAGTTTATCGAGCTAACCTATGGTTTAGCTCCAGCACTGGAAGAAAATGTGGACAGAAAGTGGTCACCAAACAGCTATCCATTGATAAGGGGATGAGATTTCTTCTTGAGATAGCAGAAAAGCCATAGAGATGGGTAATGAAAACTACACAATGGTATAAATTTACATACTGCCACTGAATTACACGCTTAAAAACAGTCTCTTGAGGCTGGAGAGATGGCTCCCCAGATAAAAACACTGGAAAAAGGCAGTTATGGCATATGCCTGTAATACCAGCACTCCAGAGGCAGAAGCAGGTGGATCTCAAGTTCCAGAACACCGGGGCTACACAGAAAAACCCTGCCTCAAAAGAAGAAAAAAAAAAAAAAAATCTACCAAAGAACACTGAAACACCAAGGGTTCTTCCACAGGACCTGGCTTCCATACCCAGCACACACATAATGGCTTACAACCATCTGTAAACCCAGAGTTTTGGGATGACTTCTGGTCTCTACAGGACACTGCACACGTGACTCACAAACTTACATATAGACAAAACACATATACAATTAAGATGTAAAAAAAAGTTAAAATGGTTTGTTACTCTTAAATAAGTCATTGCAAAACATATTCTTATTTTGACCAACAAATATTCATTCCTCAAGACACAAAATGCAACCAAAAAAGCTTAGTCAGATTACAGAACTAAATAGGCTGAGGAAGAAAGACTACAAAGAGTCTAAGACCAGCCTGGGCTTCATGGTGCCATATCAAGACATTTGTGAGAGGTCAGGGAGGAGATGTACAACACCATACATACATACATACATACATACATACATACATACATACATACATACATACATACATACATTTTCTAATTTATATTTTATGTGTGAGTGCTCTGCATGTATACCTGCACGTCAGAAGTGAGCCACCATGTGGTTGATGGAAGCTGAACTCAGGACCTCTGTAAAAGCAGCCAGTGTGCTCTTAACCCGAGCCATGTCTCCAGCCCCCGATATACACAGCTAGGTTCTAAAGGAAACTGGGAAAGGATATTCACAGACTATTCTAGGTGAGCAAGAATACATAGTAAGACTCTGTTTTCTTCTGTCTCATAATCCTAAGTACCAAACTCTTGTACTTTTTTATGACCCAGGGACTAGGGCTTGTATTTGTCTGACATACCATCAGTCCCAGACTTCACTCTAAGATGATCCAACATAATTTCTTGAATTAAAAATAAAAGCTTATACACCAGTGATTGGTGTGCAAACCACGATGTACATTTCTATATTTCTTTGTTCCTTCCATTTAGCAAAGCAGCTAATAATTACTCAAAGATCAGTGCCCCTTTTTTGATCAAAATAGTATCACTCGTTTTTTTGGCAATAGGATGACAAAGGGTGGGGTGGGGTGGGGTGGTGCTGAGGACAAATCCAGTGCCTCCCACATACTAGACGATTCTACACTGTAAAATCTGTGGTCGCACTCACCGGCTCTCAACCTGTAAGTCTGGGACTGACTATCAGATATTAACATAGACAACAGTAGTAAAACTACAGTTATGAGGTGGTAACAAAATAATTGTATGGCTGGGGGTGGTCACCACAACATGAGGAACTGTACTGAACAGTGCAGCATTAGGAAGGTCGAGAGCCACTGAGCTAAATGGTCATATCTATAAAAAAGTAATACACTGAGTCAGGTTCATTTCACTAAAATTATAGAAAGTCTAAGGTTTCATGACAGGCTCTGTAATACCATTAAGACACCTGTACCTACATTTATCAAATGACATTATCAAGTGACACAATTTACAAAGTCCCTTCTAATGAGGGGGCTACAGAGAAGGCAGAGGTTAGAGTGTTTGAATTTTTTTTTTTTCTACTCCTGCAGAAGACTTGAATTCTGTTCTCAACACATAGTACACATACATACATTCAGGCAAAATACTCATATATATATATAAAATTAAGTTTTAAAAAACAATTAGCTGGGTGGTGGTGGCACACCTTTAATCTTAGCACTCGAGAGGCAGAGGCAGGTGGATCTCTATTAATTTGAGTTCACCCTGACCTATAGAGCCAAGTTCCAGGACAGTTAAGACTTCACAGAGAACTTTGTCTCTAATAATAATAATAACAACAACAACAATAACAAATGAAACCTCGAGTCACTAAAATTATATGTATATGGCTATTGCTAACAAACTCATACCTTCTCCTATATCTATCTTTCTCCCATCACTCCTCCTTCTAGAGAAGCCCATACCCAGATAGTATGTACTTTCCCTTCCTAAAGAAGTCTACTTCTATTCATGCTTTAAATTCCTCTCTCGTGTGTCTGCCGTGTGCGTGCGTGTATGTGGTTGATATGCATGGAGTATGGGCACACATGCCACAGCTAGTTGGAGGACGTGGACGCGGCCTTCCACGTTTGCCTAAACCCTCCGCGTTTATACACAGGCAGTTTAGGCTCATGATAGGCCTCTACCTCTCCTCTTTACTGCATATGTTTAAGTTTACACTAAAACTGATGTTTTATGTGTATGAGTGCTTTCTCTATGCATGTGTCTGTACCACTTGAACATCTGGTCCCTGTAGTCAGAAGAGGGTTGGAACCTCTGAGACTGGAGTTATGGTTGGGTATGAATATCATGTGTGTCCTGAGAACCAAACCCAGGTCCACTGCAAGACTAACAAATACTATTAACCACTAAGCCAACTCTCTAGACCCAAAAACTCTTCAAATTATTATGACTGGGCTTTTTTGCTTGTTTTATTTACTTTTCTTTTATGTGCATCATGTTTCATTTCATGTATGTAAATGTAACATTACATGCCTGTATTCTCAGAGGTCAGAAGAAGGCATTATGCATAGCTGTGGGCCACCATATGGGTGTTGGGAACTGAATCCAGGTCTTTCACAAGAGCAAACAGTTTTCTTAACCACTGAGCCATCTCTCCAGCCCTGTTTAAATGGTGATTATTGTGTGGTGTGTGGCTTGAGACACAACATTCCTGTGGAGAACACAGAACAACCCCCTTTACCCACTAAGCCATTTCACTAGCACATAAAACTTTTTAATAATGAACTTCAATTTTATTTCATGAAAGGAAACTTAGTCTAACTTCACTTTTTCTACATGCCTTTAAATAGCTGAGAATATTCATATAGGCTGTGTGCCAATTTAATTCATAACATCCAAAATTCAATTCTCTCCTACCTACAATGTAATGCTGCGTGATCTCTATGTAAACAGCAATCCTAATCCTATATACAGTAGCTAAGTCAAGTGCTACAACAGGTTATGCCACAGAAGTAAGTAGCAAATACTACAGGCATGGGCTCACAAAAGGCAGTATGATGGTACCCAACTGCAATCTGAGTATAAAATTAAGGCAGGATTGTGGAGTACACAGTGAAACTCATGTCTTAAAAAGGGCATATCTGTAACAGGAAAAGCACTATGGTTAAGATATGGTAAGATACTAATATATCTGATTTCCCAGTAGACCAAGCAGAAGTGTACCGCTTCACTGATTACTCAGACATGAAACTTAAGACAACTATTTACTCCTCGGGTATAAGGAGCATTGCTGACACATCACATCTCTACAAGGACAATTATTTAGGGTGTGTGTGTGTGTGTGTGTGTGTGTGTGTGTGTGTGTATGAGTTTGTGGTGGTTTTTTTTTTTTTTTTTTTTTTTTTTGGTTTTGGGGGGAGGGAGGTTGAGACAGGGTCTCACTATGTAGAGCTTTAGTTATCCTAGAACACACTATGTAGACCAGGCTACAAACTCAGAGATCAATCTGGTCCTGTCTCCCAAACGCTGGGATTAAAGGTATGCACCACTGTGCCCACCTTAAAGGAAGGTTGAAAGATGATTCCACTGATCAAAATGCTACAGATTCTTCCACGATTGTCTATTCCAGTCCTTGTGATTCAACATAGGGTCTCCTGCATCCTGTCCCAGCATTCTCTTGGAACTACATACTCCATTCCAATATTTTTAGCATCAATCGGACTCAAACTATGGCAGTTTTAACCATATTAGCATTATCTCCACAGTGAAGACAACAGCAAGCTCTAGGCCAGCCAGGGACACATAGAGAATAAAACCCTACCTCAAATAAACAAAAACAGTAAAGGCAGACTAATAGATGCATGGCCTAGTATTATCTGTGTATTTACAAGGTAATGTTAACTTTTGAAAATGTACTAACTGTGGTCAACTAGATATAGTTAAAGCATAATTACTCAGGCAAGGTTACCCGAGGCTACATAAGCCCCTACATGGCAAGGAAATAAAAAAGTAGTACTTTGATCTACCTTGGTTGGCTGTGTTCACTGCCATCCATCCCATGGTAACAGACGACAAAATTTGGTGAACACTAACTAATCACACACCCTTTTACGTGGACACCTGACCTTAGGAAAGATGGCCAGTCACTGGTCACAAAGGATGAGCTAGCTATGAGGCTTCTCCAAGAGCCAAAGGGTTACTGCTGTTCAGCCCCAGATGCTCCCCCTTCAGTGCCAGAACCTGGGGCTCACTGCATCCATTTATACATTCCTAAGAACTACAGCTTCAAAGGGCTTGTTTTTTCTAAACATTACCTAGGAGTAAACTGAACCCCCCCCCCAATTATATATCCTACTTCACATAATCCTAGTAAATACATAGGAAAATAGCAGAAAATGGGGTGGCAGTGGGGGAAAATTTCCCAAATCCTTTCATGAAGAGAAAAATAAAATTCTATTAGCAATTATAAATAAATACAACCAAAACAGAATGAAAAAAAAAGGTAAAACCAACCCCTCCGCGCTGACCATCTACGTGTATGGAACGGATGTGGTCTGCCAGGTCTGGGCTAGAGTTGAAGCACGCCTGGCACTGGTCCCAACAACAATTATAGGCAATGTGTTTGCTTGAAGAAGTAGTGCTCCCTTGTCCATTCATCATTGCTGGTGTTGAACGCCCACTGGAAATTGTGCTGTCTACGTCCATTAGAGTACTGCTTATGCTACAAGAGAAGAAAAAGGCTGTTACTCCTAGAAATTTACCAACAAGAATATGATCTCACAAATACTGAATTATATACATTCTGCTCTATACAAATAACACATACTGACCAATATTCTCCATTTAACTGCAACGCTTTGAAATTAGCTACCAATGAAATACAAGATAAAACACAAGAGGTCCTCATAATCTAATACAGGGCTGGGTACCATGGGTACTGACTACAGTACAGCAAGTGGGAGGCTGAGGCAAGGCTGCAAGAATGTGAAGCGTGCTTTAGGGAAAGAATGAGATCCACTGTGAATAAATCTTAAAGGAATGAACAGAGTCTGGACATAGAGGTAATGGGAGATCATCCTAAGCACAAACTGGATGGAGCCTACAAGTCAAACACACACACACACGCACACGCGCACACACACACACAGTTACAATAACCTAAGACTTTTCTAGTCCTTGGAATTTTAAAAATTGGATTTACTGAAACTGCTGCAATCAGGACAGAAAGCCTTCTGCATCCCCTGTACCTCCCACATCCTGAATCCTCAGTGCCTTAAGACTGGGAAGCAGACACACTCCCAAATGGACACCCCACCTCAGCACATGCAAAGTACTAGCCTAACCTGACCAAAAGCAGGAGGGAACTGACAGAAGCTGGAATGGGAGCAGGGGAGGAACTGAGAGCCTGTGTTGGCCCAGCCCACCAGCTCAGCCTAGATTTCTACCAACACAGCACAGACTGCTGACATTCACAAGGCTGCCAAGTCAGGTTCACTTCCATGAACTCCCAGGAGTCGGGTGACATCAAGCACAGTGGGTACAGCAGGGCAGCTTCCCACAACGATGGAGGCCTTCCAGAGACTCAGTCTGCTCTGACGCCTGAGTACCAATACAAGGAGGCATGGCGGACAACCAAGCCTAAAATAAAAGACTGATTTCTCAATCTCTACACCTGCAGAGTTGCATGTTAGGGGACCCAGCTCAGTGACTTGTCTGTCTGCACTGACTGCGGCTGCAATTTTGACTTTTTCCTGATCACCTTGTAGACCAGGTTAGCTATCAGATCAGTATGTAGCATGACCTTAAAATTAAACTATCCGCTGGGCGGTGGTGACACACGCCTTTAATCCCAGCACTTGGGAAGCAGAGGCAGGTGGATCTCTGAGTTTGAGGCCAGCCTGGTCTACAAGACCTACTTCCAGGACAGCTTCCAATGCCACAGAGAAACCCGTCTCAAAAAACCAAAACCCCCCCCCAAAAAATCAAGCTCTTCATGACCCTCTCTGGCCTTCACCCCACTAGTGCAGGGTAACTAGCAATGCTACCAAACATTTGTTCTTTTATTTTCATTTTTTTGAGACAGGGTCTCTCTATATACTCCTGGATGTCCATGCAGACCAGGCTGGCCCAATAACTCAGAGACACTCCTGTCCCAGCATCCCAAATCCTGGGATTAAGTGTGTGTTTGGAATCCCTGGAACTGGAGTTACAGGTACTGGAGTCACCATGTGGGTGCTGAAAATTGAACCCTCCAAAAAGTACAAACCAATGTTCTTAACTGCTAATCCATCTTTTCAGTCTTTTTTTTTTTTTTTTTTTTTTTGGGTGAGGTGGCAATGGCGCATGCCATTAATACCAGCACTTGGGAGGCAGGCACAGGTGGATATCTGAGGTCCAGGCCAGCCTGGTCTACAAGCAAGTTCCAGAATAGCCAGGACTACACAGAGAAACCCTGCCTTCGGGGGAAAAAAACAAAAAAATAATATATAGTGTTCTCTGATACAAGGTCTCACTCTGCAGTCAGTCTGGCCTGTAACCCAGAGCCCACCCTGTCTCAGGCTCCCTGGTGTTGAGGTAACTGGCTTTTGCCTCAGCGGATAGAGATTTCTTTACCCCTCATTTTGTGCCTATAGCATTTTTTTGGTTTTGTTATTTTTGAGGCTGAGTTTCATGCCTATAACTCCCAAATAATCTATGGCTTTCTAAAGGACTTCTTAGAGACTTGCTTGAATTTTTGAGATCTCTGAATGGTAGATAATAAAATGAAGTTATTGATTAAAAAATAATTTATTTGGGGGAGACATAACTCACAGGGATTATTTCTGTCCTTCCACCACGTAGACCCCAGCTCCCAACACCTCAGATCATCAAGCTTGGTAGAGGTACTTTTACCTGATGAGCTATCGTGATACCACCCCGCCCCTCCCCCAACTGAGACAGCCTTGCCATGCTGCCCAGACTGGTGCTGATTAAACTTTAATTTTAATCACTATCCCACAAAAAAAAAGACTGAAACGCCCATCAATCAATTTTACTTCGTGAGATCTTGCTAGGTAGCACAAGCTCCTGGGCCTCAGAATTTCAGGTGTGCACTACCATACCAGCCTAGTCACAACTGTCAAGATGTATGTTTCAGTTTGTGGGTGTTAAGACAGTCTCGTTGGCCCAGACCTTGAACTCATGTCCCTCCTCTAAGTGCTAGGATTACAGTTACACCATCACACCTGGTCCCTCACATTTTTATTAAGAAAAAGTTCAAAGTGGGTTATGGAAGCCCTAGCCACCAGACCTGATTGATGATCTGAGTTCAATTCCAGGGCCCACATGGTGGAAGGAGACAACCAACTCCAGCAAACTGTCCCTCTGACTGCCCTCCACATTAGTGCCTACACACACAAGCATGCCAGTACATAGCATGCATATGCAAATACATACATGAATGCACACATACACGCACAGGCACACTCACAAAATAAAATGCAACAATTTTTTAACAAAAAGAAAAAGGGAGTAGAATGGTGGTAGCACATGCCTCAATACCAGCACTCAAGGCGGAGGTAGGCAGATCTCTGTGAGTTCAAGGCTAGCCTGGTCTACAAAGTGAGTTCCAGGAGACAGCCCGCCCCCCACAAAAGAGCTAGAGGCATGGCTCAGATGGCTTACCTGGCATGCCCAGAACTCCTGGCTTCAATCTCTAGCACCACATACAGCAGGCATGGTAGTATGCCTTCAATCCCAGCCCCAATACTTAGCAGGCGATGGCAGGAGGGTATGAAATGCAAGTTCACCGTCAGGTTCAAATTAAAAAGAAACATTCAATTTGGAATTGGACGTGGTAGTTCACACCTGTGATCCCAGCACTGAGAGTTGGAGGAGAGGGTCACCATGAGTTCATGGCTAATCGGAGTTACAATCTGAGACTTTCTCAAGTACACAGAAAATAACAATGACAGAGCTAAGGGACTTAGCTCAGTGAGGAGGCTCTTGGTCAGCATGCTCAAGACTTCCCATGAGGGAGAGAACAGACTCCTGCAAGCTGTTCTGACCTCCACACCCATGCCTTCACATGAAGTAATTTAGAATGTAACATAAATAACAATTTTCAAGACCTGTCTCCCTAATCAATTCTAATCTAATACCATTTTAACTTTTATGTTTTGGGGTTCCATATAAAATTTTATTTGAGGAAAAAACTTTTATCTACTACAGGAAATTCATAATTTTAAAAAACTTTGATACATAGCTGTACATATTTATGGGGTACAGTGATGTTTCAATAACTGTACAATGGATGGATGATGAGCAAAACAGGCTAATGAATATGCCATAACCTTAAACATTTATCATCCTTTGTAGTATACCCAAAACTCTCTCCCAGCTATTCTGTTATTTACAGTAATTGCCCTGCTGGGCAATAGTGAACACCAGAATTTATTCTAACTGCAGGACTGTACCCTGTAAATGGCTTTTAAATTCTATTTTCTCAACAACACCATCAAAATGTACACTACTGTGATAACAGCACTTCTATATTAGAGCGCTGAAAACCACTGAGCTCTTAGCGTAAAGGCAAAGGATTATGATACCCTGGAGTTAGAGGATGCATACTCTAAACCCTTCATGGAATGAAGGTTCTGATTTGAGGCTTCCAAGTAAGAACTCCCCTAATGTCAAACAGATCAGGCTTCCCCTTTATTAATGAAAACCACAATCTTTAAGACCCCTTCAATTCACCTACAAACTAAACTCCTAGTGGATATAAGGAGTTAGGGACAGAACCTGAGGACTCATGCATGTATGGTACATTCATAGCCTGTAAAACAAGTATTCCAAATTTCCCATATTCCAGGACAGACCACAGGCCACCTGGTGTGACGTGTCTGTGACCCTCAGGCAGTAGAGGAGGAGGTTCACCAGCTGCTCTGACCTAACACAAAATGGTTGGCCTCCAGATGCCAGGTGCATGGCTCACACCTGGAAACCCTGTGCTTCAGAGGGAGGCAAAAAGATTGTATATAGAGTTCAAGGGCAGTCAGTCTCCAAGTTAGCTTTTGTTGTCTATTGGATACAACCTCAAGTTACCTAAGAGGAATCTCAGTTGGGGACAAGCGGCCTGATCAACTGTCTATTCCAGGCTAGTAGTCTGACCATACAATGAGAGACCCTGTGTCTCAAAATGGGAGAGGGGAAATAAACAAAATGAAACAAACATCCAATGACCATACATATGGAATGAAATCTGGTAAAAACAGAGGGGGAAATTATAGGTCTATGGGAATTTAATAGGATCATAGTAAACAATATAATCTTACTTTTTTTTTTCTTTCTTTTCTTTTTTTTTTTTTTTTTTGGTGAGTGTTGGGTTGTTTTTGACTCAGGGTCTTTCTATAACAGCCCAAGAAAAGCCATATCTAGAAAACCTTCAACTTTGTGAGTAATAAATAAGGAGCAACCTAGCCAGGTGGCGCACACCTTTAACCCCAGCACTCAGGAGGCAGAGGCAGATGGATCTGTGTGAGTCCAAGACCAGCCTGGTCTACAAGAGCAAGTTCCAGGACAGCCTCCAAAGCCACAGAGAAACCCTGTCTCAAAAAAAAAAAAAAAAAAAAAGGAACAACCTATTTAGAAAATTGTAGATAACCTTAGGACCACACAAGAGATCCTAGATTCCTGAATTTAGCTGTTAACAAATAAGCACCATGCAGGTAAAAGGTGGTCCTC